GCCCGCTGCTGATTGTCAGTGCTGTGCTCGCGTCTGGAACGATGCAGCACGGCAAACAATATTGCCATTATTTTATCGCGTACACTGCTGCCAGCGGAATGCGTCTGGTAGATTTGACGTCTAGCGAGGCGTTATTGGACAACAACTCGTTCGTTTCAGTTGGTTTTTAGTCGATGGAGGCCATAGCTGAGCTTGCTAGTTTGGCGGGAGTCGCTTCGAGCTCCCTGTTCGGAAACCTGATGAAAGTGCTGGCAGTTCAGGCTAGCAGCGATACATTGTGCTGGCGTTGAGCAGACCCCAAACATGCTTTGGTGACCGAGGGATGTGATGAGTGGCGTTCCGCCCCGGGCATGATGAAGCGCAGCGCGCTCGGGCTGCACCAGACTGTCGGCTATTTCTGTATGGGCAAGGTCGGTCGCAGTCCCCAGCTGATGAATATGGCCGGAGATAACTTTGCCACTGAGGAGGCTCAAATCTCAGTAGCCCTCCAGTGGTTCAAAGTGGCGAGTTACATCAGCTTCCATCGTTCCACGAATCAGTAATGGTAGGAAACGGCGCGAAGTACCACCAACACATCAATGACCGGGCTCCGAAGCAAAGTGAAACATGCGCAGGCTGCTTAAGAGCTAGATGCCTTCTCGCAACTTGTTCGTGGTGCACTGACACACCTTCCACGTGCATCTTGATGCAAATGATGATCCCGTGTGTTATTGTCATAGCGCTACTGATTGTTATGTTGACGGCGGCGCTCACATCATCCCTTACAAGCGGCCAGCACGGTGGCCCTGATCGCAAGCGCAGATCGCCGCCGCTGCGGCTGTTAAGGACGGATCCGCCATCGGCCGCTGTCCTTGACAAGTCTTCCATGTGTGTGGTGCGCCTGTAGGCTGGACCGACCGAATTTATGTGGTGCGCCTGTAGGCTGGAACGACCGAGTGTGTGTGTTGCGCCTATAGGCTGGACTGGCCGAGTGTTTGTGGCGCGCCTGTAGGCTGAACCGGTCGAGCCGCGTGCTGGCGCGAGCGGTGCTCCGGTCCCGTCGGCCGCGCAGGACGTCTGAGCGCTTCAATCAATTCCAGGTGGACATTTCGTACGAGGTCATCTCGTATGATTCGGACAACGAAATGGGGCGCCGCCGGCCGGAGCTGACCCGCAACAAGCGCGGCACGCCCGTCTACTCAAAGGAGGACATCCGGGAGCAGTACTGCATCAACGAGAAGGAGGTGCACGTGCTCGAGAGAATCACTGCCCGCTCCATACTCAACTGTTTCTCGGAGCGCAATGTGAGTGGCCGCGTGGTCCGCCACCCTGCCGGTCGCTGGCAGCGAGAGTGCGGATCCTGCCCTGGGCTCTCCACAGATCTGCAAACGTGTCCTTGATAGCCATGGGGAACGTCCGAAGTGGCCTTAGGTAGTGTTGGGTCCGCATCCAGACGGTCCTGAAAAGCTCCTTAGCAGGCCCTGTTGAACAGCAGTGGTAGGGGCGAGCCAGCCCTTGGTGGCGTTCATGAAAAGCTCGACACCCGTCCCTGACCACAGCCCTGCGGGTAAGATCCACGGCCGGCACAGCCCTGCGGGTTAGTGATCCACGGCCGGCACAGTCCTGCGGGTTAGTGATCCACGGCCGGCACAGTCCTGCGGGTTAGTGATCCACGGCTGGCACAGCCCTGAGGGTTAGTGATCCACGGCCGGCACAGCCCTGCGGGTTAGTGATCCACGGCCGGCACAGCCCTGCGGGTTAGTGATCCACGGCCGGTCGCCACGGTGATCGGCAGACCTGTCCGTCAACAACTGAAAGAAAAACACCGCACCTGTCGTTGAGAGTCTATCTAGGGCGTTTGCGGCAGTCACATGCCCGAGTGTGGTCCTGAGATATTTGGGCGGTGCCACGCCTCCGTGTTTATTAACATCATCGCGCCGCGTCACGTCCGGACGCAGGCAGCGCAGCCGTCATGCCCCGCTGCCTGAGCTCGCCCGCCGGCGGCTGACGCACGGCCGTCCCCGCGACGTGCCCGCAGCGGGATGTAATTGCCTTGCGGGGTTGCGTGGGCTGCCCGAGAAAAAGCTTTGTTCTGCTGGCGGGGCGGTGCTTGTGGAGCTTCGGCCGGCGGTGCGTACCGAGTTCGGCAGGCCTGCGGGACGCAAGCCGAAGCAAAGGTCGGCTCATCTCAGTGTGCGTCATTGATCAAGTAAATGCTTTGATCGGTTCGCTTGGCGTGAGTCTCGACTAGCTTAGTGGGCAATATCATCGATACATTCGCCCTCCTTGACAAACACATACTGAGTAAATGGCAGGTAAATCACATACTCAGATCCGCATTCTATTTTGCCGTGCCCATTCTGATGGCGCGATATGAAAGCGTTACCAAAAAACATCCTTCTTATATCATATCAGTATGCTGTGCTACAGCTATCGTCATCACGCTGAGCTGTTAGAGCAAACATACTCCCACTGATGATCTTGGCGACCAGCACAGTGTTGGCATTGACCACCATAACGCTAATGAGACCTGCCCGTCTTGACTATGCTAATGCCTTTGTTATTACGACTGGATGCAATTCTGTACCGAGGAAGGTCCATTGAAGTATTTTCGTTTATTTTGTGTCCGTCCATATGGGCACGGCTCATGTCATACAAAGACAAAACAAAAAATCATACAAACTGAACTATTCCACTCCGATGACTCATTCTAAGCTATTTCATCACTCTCAATGTCTATCGAGGGGCGTTATGTTCCAATATTAATGCTGGTCTCACTCACTCCCACCGTGTCGGCAGCCAGAGTGGCTGCAGAACAAGTCTGACTGGTGTATCTGCACCAACGCGTGTTCACACGGTCCCCTTAAACTGGAGCCACTCGCATTCTGTTCCAGCCGAGTCCGTGCAAGAAGCAGAATTTGTTGACGTCCTGCTATAAGCGAAAACGAAAAGCTGATTATCCAGAGGACTCTGCGAGACCTCTTCCGAGACCGAAGAAGACCTGGCAAAGTTCAGACGATGACTTCGACGAACAGTTCTTCCGAAGACGACCCAGGTATTGCTTGGACTCAAACACTACTATGCATATGGGATGTAGTGGTAAGCTCTCTTTCCACTCAAACGGAGATATTCAAGAAAAAGTGTGTTAAAAATTGCTTTACACTCGCGTTTTATCCATGCGCTGCTACACCAAACACTCCTTTATATCTTTTGAACATGTGCAGAACATGCGAGCCTCATTCAGCTTTCATGCCTGTACGTCACATCACTCATTTTCAATGTGCCGGAAATTTGTAGGTCTACGTTATGTCGGGACACCTAACTGACAGTTTGTAGCCAAAGTCATGCCGGGCCAAATCGTGGGTTAATGTAGTATTCAAGATTATTTTGTGTTCTAAAGTGATGATTGCCTTCTGGCAGGCCTTCCGATACAATGATGTTTTGGAAAGATCTTCATGGTACGCACAAAATAATTTCGTGATAATCAAAACCCCTGTTATTCATAGATGTCCGATACCGGTTAGTTTGCGTTGAAATATTTTTTTAAGGCGGGTGTTACCCCCGCTGGTCTATTTGCCAGACTGGTTAAAATTGCACACCCTGAATAAATACGTTGCTCATATATTTCCGCACTTTGAACAGGGAAACCAACGCATCTTTCTTTAGTACAAGTCTTAGGTACTCATCCCGTGTAGCATACGCATGCACACCAAATCCACGCCAGCATGGAAACCCTGGGAATGCCTCCTAGCGTCAGAGGTGCAGGAGATCTGACAGAACATATCCGAGCGACGCCAATACCCCTGGGCGGGTGTGTGTGGCAGCTGCCGTCGCCGGCCCCTCTGTTGTCCCGGGTGACGGGCGTTGTCCGGTCCATCTGACGGCCGGCAGTCCCAGTGACGTCATCGTCTTGTGGTCCGTGCGGACGCTGCTGGCAAGCGCTCAAGCCGGGCCGCAATATAGCCCACTCTCCTGGGGAATCAGGCCTCTTGAGTGATGGAGGGGTCCCGCCCATCCCGGCGGCCGCTAACAATGCGTTCTCTGTGTGTGCCAGGGTCTTCTGTTATACGGACCCCAAGCGGTACACATGGGCGGAGGGCGACCTGGCCCGGGTAAGTGAGAGACGGCTGACCAAGCACTGCGTCTAACCAGGCGGAAAATACGCTGGGACTGCGGTTCAGGATTGGTATGAGGTAGCATAAATGAGGGCATTTGTAGAATCTTGCTGCCGACCAAAGGCAACTTCTTCAGGTCGGCTATTTCGACCCGCTGTCCCAGCATCACGCTTATGATGCGGTAGTCAGCAGTAGTGTGTACTATTCGAGCTTGTTTCGTTTATTAAGGTGAGAAGCTTGATACGCAAATGAGTTTTTAAACCGTATTTGAGGGCTTTGTTTTGTTCACCAGCGCCTGGAAATATAAACGGCCCCAACATCTCCATGATATTGACTATTTATTGCTTAAGCATAGCTTTCTGAGCCCCTAGTGTGTTGTTCGCAATAGCCTCACTCTGTTCCATTTTCCGATCTCCTTTTTCCACACTATTCATCTCTCGTTTCTGGGTGGAAGCAAATGGTGCACGCCATGTTTCCTACAGTGCACTCGCCGTGTTTTCGCTCTGCTGGCTCCCGTGGTGTCCAATGGCCGTACCCTGTGTGCTCTTCTTTTGTCACCAAGTAAGCTCACGATGCTCATAACGTGAAACCACCATGTGCGGACAAACGAGTACGCACCTGGAGTCATCGAAAAGGGCGGGTCGTTTGATTGCGTTTAGCTTTGCTCAAACTCGCAACCCCCCCCCCCCCCAAAAAAAAAAACACCCTGCCTCTGTCTCATGTTCCTCCCTCTCCATACCCCGATGTCTGTATCCTCCTCGCCGTCCGTAATCCGTCTCGCTCTCAGCTGGCGCGCGGCGCCGACGAGAGCTCGGCCCGGCGGCGCCCGCTCAACGTGCGCCTATTTCCAGGGCCGGCGGCCACGCTCGCCGGACTCTGGCCGCCGGCCAAACCAGCTGACGCTGCGCGAGCAGGCCGCCCGGCCGCCAGCTCAGGGCCGGCGCCGCAACGGCAGCGCCGACGGTCAGTGACGGCACGCGCCGAGACAGCGGGGGTGCCTCGGGTGTGGGCCGGGCACGGGGGCCGGGCGCAGGGTACCGGGCTCGCCTGGGACGCGGTACGGGAGCGGGTGCAGGGTGCCGGGCTCGCCTGAGGGCGCAGTACGGGAGCGGGCGCCGGGTGCAGGGCTGGTCTGAGGGTGCGGTACGGGAGCGGGTGCCGGGTGCCGGACTCGCCTGGGAATGCAGCACGGGGGCGGGTGCCGGGTGCCGGGTGCAGGGCTCGCCAGGGAATGCGGTACGGGAACGGGTGCCGGGTGCCAGGCTCGCCTGAGGGTGCGGTGCCGGCACTGGCACCGTGTGCATCCACGCTGCGACAGCTCACTGCAGCCGCAGGGTGACGAGATAGGGAACAACATGCACGTAGCCGGAGGGTGACGGGATAGGGAACAACAGGCACGTAGCCGGAGGGTGATGGGATAGGGAACAACAGGCACGCAGCCGGAGGGTGACGGGATAGGGAACAACCGGCACACAGCCTGAGGGTGGCGTTCATGACGCAGAGACCGGACTGATCTCCGTGGTAGAAGTCTTACGTGATACTTGAAAACAACGTGTTCAGTAGACCGCACATACAGAAACTCAAAACTTTTTCCAGACATTAACCTGCGGGACATGACCTTCAACGCCAACGCACAAAATGCGTCGCTAACCAGCGCCATAAGTACACAAATTCTGCGTGGTCTCAAAAGTACAGCGTGGCATTGCACATTACATGAACACGGTTAACCATGCAGTCTGCCCCGGCGGCGAGCACGCGCTGTGGTGTGGCTGACGTCACAGCTGTGATGCCAGAGCATGCGGTATGACGTGGCTGATGTCACATGAGAGATGAAGTCCTAGTCGTAGTGCCTGTTATGCGCCGGGTGCTGGGTCCGGATCTGGGCGTTCTGGGCCCTGCAGCACGCTGGTGTTGAAGCCTGCATGATGGAAAGAAATGGAAATCAAGAAACTTGGACCCGTATGTATTGAAGACGATTTGAAACTTGCTCTCCATGTGATCAAGCGTTTGTGCCAGGGCATATTAACAACAAGGCCAGATCATGCATGCAATCGTTTGTCTGGTGCCGCGCTACGTCACGGACGTACAGGTCGTGGATTGCCTGCTTGAATGAAGGCGGTTTTGCGTACGGGACCGTCCATACATAACGTTACCCATGGAGGGGAGATGGAGGTTTTGATGGAGCGTAACTGAAGCGTAACGAGGCCGGCAAAGTGAGCTTTCGGACAGCGTAGCTTTGTGCTCAGGGTTGGCTGCTTATCATGTGTGGTGTACAATAAAATCATCACCTTCAAAAACAAATTAAATCCTCAAAGTGTGCTGCTGTTGGCTTCCCCTCATCACAAGGAACATGTTCACTGTTTGTGTTGCATCTCTAGCTCAATAAGGAGCTAAAAAAGTAAAAAGGAGCTTTTCGGGACGTTGCGCTTAACGCATCAAAACCAGTGGCGTGGGGGAATTTCACCAATGGTAACCAGTAATTTTCGTAATATACATACGGTCCTAATGTTTTTGCTTGTTTGAGTCGATTGCGCAACTGCTCAGTTAGCTGGCCTATAGGCGAAAGATGGCGTGTACCAGATCGGGTCATAACACCGATACGCGTTGTCGTGCCCGTGCGCTGAAGTCCATCCCTGACCAGAAACGGACACTTTAGTGTTGACGCGCCCACCCATCTCTGAGGCTCCGTTCTGAAGCTTCTGAGGTCCAAAGCAATATCCCCGGCGCTCTTTACAACGGGCAGTCGCTTCAATATTCTCCCTGGGGTCCTGTGAAAACTGATGCAGTCTGGTGAATAAGCCAGGGCGTATGTGGTGAATAAGCCTGCGCGAGCGTGTGTGTGACAGGGTGCCAGCGTGTACTGTGACATGATACCAGCGTGTGGCAGGATACCAGCGCGTACTCAGGTGCTCCCCCAGGTTATGTTACAGTCGCGTGTGTGACAGGATACCAACGGTGCTTACCCACGTGCTCCCTCCAGCTTATTTTGCAGACGCGTGTGTGACAGGATACCAGCGCGTACTCACGTGCTCCCTCCACGTCATTTTACAGAGACGTGTGTGATAGGATACCACGGTGCTTACGTGTTCCATCCAGCTTATTTTGCAGACGCGTGTGTGACAGGATACCAGGGCGTACTCACGTGCACCCTCGACGTTATTTTACTGTCGCGTGTGTGACAGTATACCAGCGCGTACTCACGTGCTCCGTCTAGGTCATTTTACAGACGCTTGTGTGACGGGATGAGACAGTCACGTGGTTCTTATCGTGCCTCGTGTTACTCCGAATGGCGCGTGCAGAAACTTGGGACAGGCACAACATGCAATGCGTCTCATCCAGCCGTGATTATGCACCGCGCGATGAAGGTTTTCGAACTACTGTGCCGCAACCTAATGGTGGCGCAGAGATAAGGCATATCTTATCATATGTGGCTCCATTTGTGCCGATTCATGCCGCTTGCCCTATATTTCAAACCGTTCCGCCAACACCAGGCTTGTGCGCCTGTTAGCACAGGGACATACCCAAGGAAGACCTGAGGACCGTTCCCCTTCGGATACCGGGAGTCCCTTGGTGCCCCCCCCCCCCTCCCCGCGGGCGAGATCCTCGCTCCGCCTTGTTGCGTTTAAGTGTGAGCCTGTGGCGCAATGTGTGAACCTATGACACAATGTAACAAGAGTGTCTGCACGGGAAAGTGTATAATTCATGCGACTTTGAGTCATTGTCCACGCGGTGTATGAGACGGCACAAATGTGCCAGTGTGATTAGTTTGAAACGACTGATGCCGCAAATTCGTGGACTGTCAACCACGATGACACCTCCAATACGCACGTAGCTCTCTGTATAGTTCACCATGGTGTAGAAGTGCACATGGGTGAAGCTGAGCTCGCCTCAGTCTCGGGGCGAATGATGCCCCCAGGTATATGCAATCTGAGATGACCTCCACGCGGTGGGTAATGATGTGTGTTTGGGACCGTCGATCGACAGCTGGCGCATCTGCAGTCGGTTGGCAGGCCGCTTCCGTTGTGCAGCGAAATGCACTGGCCTGCTGTCCCAGGAGCAATGAGATACCTGGCTCAGGACGTAGGCATCGACCTTCTCATTTCTCACGGGCATGAAGGTATCAGATGGCAGCTGTCCAAAACGAGCTTTGACACGGAGTGACGACTTTGTAACGTTGAACGGCAAAGGGGACATGCTGTTCTGACTGAGGACGGCGGGAATAGGTATTGTCGGATTCACTGATACACCACAGCCTGGGTGGGGGATTCAATGTTCTGACTGAGGACGGGCGGGATTCCGTATTGTCGGGTTCACTGATACACCGCAGCCTGGGTGGGGGATTCAATGTTCTGACTGAGGACAGGCGAGATTAAGTATTGTCGGGTTCGCTGATACACCACAGCCTGGGTGGGGGATTCAATGTACAGGTATGGCCCTGCCTAGCAAGTACTAAGAGTCTCAAGTCACTCGACGAAAGCGGCACAAATAGTCGTATCGTCTAGAACACAAAATGCCTTGATGCTCAAATCGCAATGTAGTCACTATGCCAGCGCATATGCTTGCGACTGTAAAAACAAGCTCTTGCAGTTAATCCTTGGCGTTTGAAATGACTTTTGAAGAGTTGACCACGCTGGAATCGATTTAACCAATCACCAGCCTGTCAGAAACAACGATGCCAACTTGAACGCTCGGAACTAGCAGCGGGCTCGGCATTAGCCGGCCGGCGCCACTGCACCTTCGATACAATCTCAAAGTATCGTCAGTTTCTGTCGACTTCGCAGGAACAATGGTGTCGATTGTCCAGCTGCTTTGGTGTCGGGGATGTGCGGAGATGATGGGCCTAATTTTTCTGCTGAACTATATAGTTTGCCGTCCACGAATAGGATTCTTTATTGTATCGCCCATTCGTTGAAGGGATTTGGGGCATTTGACAGCCTGGTTTTGCTGAGGCGAAAAGTGATATTCGTTTTGTGCTCGGCCTCTGAGGCCATGTGCTTTTACATGTTGCGATGGCGGTTGCAGGCTCCATAGCCGCTGCGGATAAATTATCCAGCATACGCCCCACACACTGTTAAGTTTCAACCATAATTTAGACTGCCTCCCACTCACCAATCCCACTCCATCTCTATCCATACCCCTCCCCATGGATGAAGACGCCAAAAATCGTCGGCCTTGTCTGAATGCATGCCAGCGCTACGCGCACATTGCCGCCGTGTGCCTGTGCGGCGTGCTGCTGGCGCTGTCCAGCAGCAGCAGCGCCGTTGCGCCGGCCTGGCCAGGGCCTGGACGGCGCCGTGACGCGGCCGCTGCCGTGTTGTCAGATCGAGTGGCCGTCACGCAGCCGAGCAGCCCCGAGCTAGGGGCGGCGCGCTGGCGCCACGCCAGCCACGACCTCGTGCTCGACGAGCGCCACCAGAAGCACGTCAGCTTCGACTCGCAGATCTTCCGGTAAGATGGCCGTTGGACGGCGCGGCTGCGGCGGCAACAGATCGCCGGTCGCTGCTTGTCTTGTCGTGTCTGTGTCGGTTAGCGGAGAGTGAAGCGCTTGAGCAATGTGCAAAGTGACGTCGCTTCTGGTAGCAGGCGCAAGGGGTCAAAGCATGCAGAGTTGGAAGATGAGAACTTGTACCTTTAAATTGTGTGCGCTGTGAACGATGTTCAATTTTGCTGTTCCCAGGTAGGTATAATCTCTTAATAGCTCATACCTGTTTGGTAAAAATTATCTCCCTTCTAACGGCTGTGCGAGTTGCTGAAAGGTACTTTCGCATGTTCCTGCATAATGAATGCGTTACGACCAAATTCGCAAACCATGCCATGTAAATAGCGGAAATGGGAAGGCATTTTAAACATTTTTACCTTTATTGCACAGGTCGCAGAACTGTGGCGTGGTTGCCTGACAACGAGCGTAGCATCAAACTAGGACATAGTTATCCTGCCCTTTATGTGAGCGACATAAGCCTAAATCATAAAGCTAAGCCTGCCGCAGCATCATGCAGCAGGCCGTGCGCAGCCAACATCTCCAAGCGGCCTGAAGGCTAGCCGGTATCCATGGCCAACGAATGTTGGCGAAAGCGCGGCAGCCATGATTAGCGAACTATCACATTCATCACGGCGAAGTCAGCATGTTGTCGAGGTCGCATTCATAACGAGTCACACGTATTTAAAGGTTTCGTACTGTTTTCAGGTCTCGACCGTCCTTGCTGCCACTCAAGCTATGCTTATTTTCACTTGTTTGTGAAAACAGATGGAGAAACTTGAACAAACGGATTTGTCAGTTAAAGTTGAGTTGGCGACCTTCAGTACACCAGGAAGTGCTGGTTAAACGGCGTGATTGTACTTAACAGCGAAAATATTGACGGTGCTCACATGCAGCACTGATGCAACACTGATGCAACACAAAATATCTGATGCAATACTCCGTTGTCGCATCAGAGTAAACCAATCCCCAGAAACTGATTTCGCAGAATCTATCGCCTGACTTTTACCTGCCGTAGGTTAGCGACCTTACAAGGTACATCTAAATTTTTGACACGAAACGATCCGCTATTCATCTGTCTACAGTTATGCAAAATTTGGCCGTTCGGAAACCATTCCGGAAAGACCTCGGGAGGGGGACAAATTGCTCCCCCCTCGCCCGAGCGCGTGTAAAATTTCGTAGATTCAACATAAGACCTTTGAACTCAATGCCGAAAACACCGAGAACTGAAAACCCTTTTTTCTTATATCAACAACAAACGGCTGAGCGCGACCGGACCAGGAGGAAGCCAGATCCCCCTGGTGCAGCCCGATTCTTCCCGGCGCGTGATGGCGGCGGTACATCCCTCAGTCCTGGGTGTTCGGCTGCCAGTCTACAGCCGGCAGATGTTTACCGTCGGTTCTCGGGAATCCAACGTCGGAGTCTGACGCGTCAAAAGACCGGACTGAGCGAGTTTGCAGCCTGTCTAGTGAAAACAGCAAAAACGGTCTTACGGCCCGTGACCAGTGACAGGGACGGAGAGAGGACGACAGGCCTCGATTGGCGGAGACGGAGAGAGCCCTGCGGTATGGCAGGTGGGGAAGCGGAGAGCTCGTTACTGGTGTGTGGCACTGAGGCGCAGGAAATCACCCGCCGTGGATGGAGCCACTAGAGAGACGCGTTCGTCTTCCGAAGAGAGCGCTGAGCTGCTGGTGGAACACTGGGCTTTCGTGCAAGTGCCGAGAAACAGACAGAAGTACTCATTGTTCCACAGAGAATGCCGAGCCATCATAGCAAATCACGCTGCCGTGGCCGCACTGGTTGAGAGGAAGCCTGACCCCCCCCCCCCCCCTTCCCTCCCCCGAGAGACACCAGAGTGGCCGTAGCCCGGGGGGTGATTACGCCGGCGACGACGACGGACGGCACGGGCGGCGCTCTGGTGACAAATGACCTGGCGAGGACCGGCCATGGCCCGCCGCTTCCTCCAGCGGCCGCCAGCTGAGGCGTCCGTCCTTCGTGGCCCTCTTAAGGCCAGCGCGGCCCGCCCTCTAATCGGCCTTTAGCGGGATCGCCCACTCCCCCACCGACCTTTAGCGTGACCGCCCACTCTCTCACCGGCCTTTAGCGGGACCGCCCATTCTCTCACCAGCCTTTAGCGAGACCGCCCACTCTCTCATCGGCGTCAGGAAGCCGCCCACCCTCTTATCGGCCTTTAGCGAGGCCGCCCACTCTCTCATCGGCGTCAGGAAGCCGCCCACTCTCTTATCGGCCTTTAGCGAGGCCGCCCACTCCCTCATCGGCGTGAGGAGGCCGCCCGCTCTCTTATCGGCCTTTAGCGGGACCGCCCACTCTCGCATCGGCCTTAAGCGAGACTGCCCACTCTCTCATCGGTCTTAAGCGGGACCGCCTCCTCTCTCACCGGCCTTTAGTGGGACGGCCCACTCTCTTATTGGCCTTCCCGCCCACTCTCGCATCGGCGTCAGGAGGCCGCCCGCTCTCTGATCGGCGTCTGGGATTGCCCGCTCTACGACCGGCCTTCAGCGGGGCTGCTCGACTCTGATGAGCCGTCAGCGGCACCAACCGCTCTATGATCGGCCGTCAGCGGGTCTGCTCGACTCTGTGAAGACGTCAGCGGCGCCAACCGCTCTATGACTCGGACCGTCAGCGGGTCTGCTCGACTCTGATGAGCCGTCAGCGGCGCCAACCGCTCTATGACCGACCGTCAGCGGGTCTGCTCGACTCTGATGAACCGTCAGCGGCGCCAACCGCTCTATGATCGGCCGTCAGCGGGGTCTGCTTCGACTCTGATGAAACGTCAGCGGCGCCAAACCGCTCTATGATCGGCCGTCAGCGGGGCTGCTTCGACTCTTGATGAACCGTCAGCGGCGCCAACCGCTCTATGATCGGCCGTCAGCGGGTCTGCTCGACTCTGATGAACCGTCAGCGGCGCCAACCGCTCTATGACCGGCCGTCAGCGGGGCTGCTTGACTCTTGATGAACCGTCAGCGGCGCCAACCGCTCTATGATCGGCCGTCAGCGGGTCTGCTCGACTCTGATGAACCGTCAGCGGCGCCAACCGCTCTATGATCGGGCCGTCAGCGGGTCCTGCTCGACTCTGATGAACCGTCGCGGCGCCAACCGCTCTAATGATCGGCCGTCACGTGGGGCGGGTCTGCTCGACTCTGATGAACCGTCAGCGGCGCCAACCGCTCTATGATCGGCCGTCAGCGGGGTCTTCTCGACTCTGATGAACGTCAGCGGCGCCAACCGCTCTATGGACCGGCCGTCAGCGGGCTGCTTGACTCTTGATGAACCGTCGCGGCGCCAACCGCTCTATGATCGGCCGTCAGCGGGTCTGCTCGACTCTGATGACGCTCAGCGGCGCCAACGCTCTATGACCGGCCGTCATGCGGGGCTGCTTGACTCTTGATGAACCGTCAGCGGCGCCAACCGCTCTATTATCGGCCGTCAGGCGGCGTCGCCAGTTTTTTGGCGGTGTGCGTGTGCTGGAGGCGACTGGGCCTCTCCACAGACAGGACGCCATGTACGCAGACAGGGTCGCATTGAATGTACAGGATCACTTTGAAAGCCAACAGGAATGTTTTGTGTGGACATATACAGCGTGCCGTAAGCAGATGGGAAACTTGCTCTTTAGGCAGACGAGAGCGCTCCGCGGAAGAAAGAGTCGGTTTGCGGGCAGATGCGTTTGCCCTGTAGAGCGGCGGGCAGATGCGTTTACCCTGTAGAGCGGCAGGCTGCTCTGATGTCACAGAATAGCAGCACGCAGTTTCGCTGTGAAGCCTTTGGCAAAAGCAGCACAGGAAATTCATTAGCGTTTCAGTGCAGTTATGAGTCCTGGTAGTGTTTGCGTAATTTCGCTCCTGACGTGCAGCCAACAAATGTAAACAGGGTCGGCCTGATCAACCTGTAGGAGGGGCTTGCCGTCTCGTTTGCAGATTAGGATTGGGATTTGGGGCTGAGGGTACAATCGCCGCTTGATCGCACAGGTTGTCGCTGGGAGCACGTCCGGCTGCTGTAGCAGGTCAAGAACGCGGGTGTGGTACAGAATCAAATGCGTTGCTGCAGGGTGCTGCTCGTGAGAGGAAATTGACCGTTTCTGTGCAGTAATCATAAAAATAATGTGCATCTTTGCGTCTAAACATGCATATACAAACATATATGCATGTTTAGTATGTATACAATTTAAGTTACACGCAAATATATATATATATATATATATATATATATATATATATATATATATATATATATATATATGTGTGTGTGTGTGTGTGTGTGTGTGTGTGTGTGTGTGTGTGTGTGTATATATGCATGTATGTATGCATGTATCCAAAAGCTTTTGATTATGTGCTACCATTATATTTGTGGTGCCGATTTGCTCCCCATGAAACTCCTCCAAGCGTTTTTATCACCTGCGAATGCGTACTTCAAGATTCGTAATTCAACCATTATTGTAATAAGATATATTTCCTACGGCAGAGGGATGTGATTCCTACGACAGAGGGAATGATCCGCAACGACTATCGTGGTGGGAATCACAAAGCCAGGTTAAGACAAGAATGTGGCTGCAAATAAATGGGGATGTGTTGAAAGGAAGGATAGGGACTAAATATGGTATAGTTGCAGTACGTGATCACCCTAAGTCGGACCTACCAGCGGTGCCCGTTTGTTCTACGTGTATCAGCTTGTGTCGGTATCAGCTATTGGTTCCGTGAAAGAAGTGTGTGTGATCTCCTAAAGGATATTGTCGTCGGTGTGGAGATAAACATTTTTATCATCGTTCGGTCATTTATTGTTGTTTGCCGGGATCATGCATGCGTTGTTGAGTTTTAGGATTTAAGTTCGTAAAGAAGTACGCATGCATGAAGGAAGTACGCAGTTGGTCCTAAGAAAATGTAGATATGGTATAAATATCGTATAGCAGACGTACATATGCAAAAGTTCGGACGCATAAGGTTGTGCCTAAAGGTGTGTAATCAAATGTTCGTGTGGTGGTAAGCAGGCGTGCAGAATACGCACAATATTGATAAAAGGTGGTATGGACATGTATAAAACACGTACGAAGGTGTTCTTAAGCAATTGAACGTAGCGAAGGGTTCGCAGCGGCGAACTCTCTCTCTCTCTCAAGTTTGTTTTACAAAGGCACGCACGCAAAAGTTTTTAAGCATTAACCATGTAGTGGCAGGCTTATATCGATAACACCGCTATGGGGAATATTCCAGGATGGAGTGACCATCCGAGTGTTAAAAAAACACATTGTAAGCTGTCAGATCCGGCTGAAAGTTTGTGCCCGGATGATCATCCGGTACATGGACTCAATTGTGCAATTTATAGCTATTTGCGGCATTCGGTTCCGCACCCGGCCCAAGCCCGAGGAATTGTTGAAAATAATAGCCTCGGGCAATGTTGGGTCGGGTGCCATCAAGGTCCTATGAAAGTGGGTGCATACAAGGTAATTAAGATTTTTCTCTGGACCCTGGTTTCTTTATACAAGCAGTTGTGCTTCACACCACACCGCTCGCACATCTGCGCGCCGCATTTCACTTGTGAATTGACTCCCGCCGCGGCAGCCAGCTGGCATCAGTGGCGCGCTCAGGAGGCCCCAGGCTGGGGTCGTCGGGAGGCGTGATCAGGGGAGAGATAGGGGGGGATACCACAGACACGACGCAATATCTGCAGCAGACATTTTTTAACCTCCGGTCTCTTCTGTCCCAAGGTTATTGTGCACTACTGCCATGGGAGTAGTGGTATCCGAATCAATGCATTGATTAATTGCCCATCGGAGTGCGTTTGAAGAGCCCTAAGAGTCCTGCTAGCCCTAATACAATTCTCATAATCCCCATAAGTCATGCTAGCCCTAAGACAATTCTCACTTTCCGCTGTCAGCCCTTGCACCTCCCTTTCCCCGGTCGACCGGATTTGGTGACCCCCGCAGGGACCGTTTGTCTGACGCCTGGCACCAAGTATAAGCATCTGTAGTTGAGTTTGCAGTGCGCACCCGCATAATATCGTTTTCGTGCGTACCTTTTGTAACGAATTT